ACAATATTGCAGAAATAGATAATCTATTACAAGAGAAAGAAAGGAAAAAAAAAAGAAGAAGAAGGAACTCTTCGTTTGCTTCTGAAGATGGGGACGGAGCGCTTATGAGAGTGTCCTGAGTCACAGATTCATCATCTCAGCTTTGGCGACAGGATACTGTTTACAAGCCAATCATATGCATGATGTCGGAGTCGGTGGCTTAGGCGTTGCGAACGCGCTTCGTAATGCTGGGTGGCCGGGTTCGATCCCTGCTGTAGACGATTTGTCTTGCGTTGGTTTCAACAGTGGTACCGAGAGCTGACCATTAAGACAGCAAAGGCTAACTACTGAACGTAAAATTTGCCTAGAAAAACTACAACAGCCATTAAATGCTGAGGTTGGTTCTGCAGCGTCCTGTAAAGGAAACGTTACTAACTTTTAACATGTTAACAAAAAACAAAACAAAAAAACCACCACAAAAAAAAAAAAAAAAACGACAACTCTGATAAACGAATTGTTCTGTGATACGCAGTAAAATATGTATTATCATTAATAATATTTTACACGATTTTAATTATACACACAGCCTTTGATAATTTCGGATAAGGACCACATATAATTTCACAATAATGAAACAGCGGTGCGATTATTTAGATCAGGAATGCAAATATGGGGGTATATTATTGTTTGTTCAGGTTCAATACTCGCAAGTACAACTAATGGTCCCTGTATCAATGACTGGATAGGTCAATGGATTGATGGATGGACAGATGGATAAATGAATAGACAGACAGACAGGCGGGCAGGCAGGCAGACAGACAGACAGGCAGGCAGGTTGGCTGGCAGACAGACAGGCAGGCAGGTTGGCTGGCAGACAGACAGGCAGGCAGGTTGGCTGGCAGACAGACAGACAGACAGACAGACAGACAGACAGACAGACAGACAGACAGACAGACAGACAGACAGACAGACAGACAGACAGACAGACAGACAGACAGACAGACAGACAGACAGACAGATAGACAGATAGACAGATAGACAGATAGACAGATAGATAGATAGATAGATAGATAGATAGATAGATAGATAGATAGATAGATAGATAGATAGATAGATAGATAGATAGATAGATAGATAGATAGATAGATAGATAGATAGACAGATAGACTGATTCATATATAAATACATAGATGGGTGGATCGATTGACAGATACATAGATAAATACATAGATGGGTGGATCGATTGACAGATACATAGATAAATACATAGATGGGTGGATCGATTGACAGGCTGATAGATGGATAGATGGATGGATGCATGTATTTACTGATGGGTGGATCGATTGACAGGCTGATAGATGGATAGATGGATGGATGCATGTATGCACTGATGGATAGATATATGAATCGACTGATGATTAGATGGATGGGTAGATTGAGGGAACAAGTGTGAAAATTAATTCATGAATGAATGACGGGTAGGATAAATGTATAGATAAATGGTGAATAAATGAATAATCCATAGAATGATAAATGGATGAATGGATGATTGACTGAGTAATAAACTCCCTAATGTTGACTTTGTAAAAGCGACCCTTCCGCAATTATAACTTGTTTGAAGATTGAATGTTGAATTAACAATCGACATTTATAGCACACGTGACATTCCCATAAGCACCCTGTCCCCATCTTCAGCAGCAAGCTAAGTTCCAATTCCTATTGCACCAGTAACTGTCTGATTGAATATCCGTCTCACTCTTTCCCTGAGTGTTTAGCATCGCCCAGATCCATTAGTTTTTGAAAACTGAACGGGTAACTTGCCATCCAGGATAAAGTTCCTGTAGTTGCCAGGGACTCATTAGCATTGCAAAGACAGAAGAGAGAGAGAGAGAGAGAGAGAGAGAGAGAGAGAGAGAGAGAGAGAGAGAGAGAGAGAGAGAAAGAGAGGGGGAGAGAGAGGGGGGAGAGAGAGAGGGGGAGGAGAGAGGGGGGGGGAGAAAGAGAGAGGGAGAGAGAGGGGGAAGAGAGAGAGAGAGGGGGGAGAGAGAAAGAGAGAGAGAGTGGGGAGAGAGAGGGGAGAGAGAGAGGGGAAGAGAGAGGGAGACAGAGAGAAAGAGAGAGGGAGAGAGGGGGAAGAGAGAGAGAGGGGGAGAGGGGGAGAGAGAGAGAGGGGAGAGAGAGGGGGGAGAGTGGGGGGAGAGAGAGAGAGGGTGGAGACAGAGAGAGAGAGCTGGGGAGAGAGAGAAAGGGGGAGAGAGAGAAAGGGGGAGAGAAAGGAGAGAGAGAGGAGTAAGAGAGAGGGAAGAAAGAAAGAGGGGGAAGAGAGGGAGAGAGGGGTAAAGAAAAAGAGAAGGGGAGAGAGAGAGGGGGAGAGAGAGAGGAGGGAGATAGAGAGAAGGGAGAGAGAGAGAGGGGGGGAGAGAGAGGAGGGGAGAGAGAGAGGGGAGAGAGAGAGGGGGAGAGAAGGAGAGAGAGAAGAGGGGGGGGAGAGAGAGAGACGGGGAGAGAGAAAGAGAGAGAGAGGGAAGAAAAAGAGAGAGGGAGCTTGTAGACAAGCACAAAAAACACTACCAACAAAGAAAGAAAAAAAGAAAGAAAGAAAGAAAGAAAGAAAGAAAGAAAGAAAGAAAGAAAGAAAGAAAGAAAGAAAGAAAGAAAGAAAGAAAGAAAGAAAGAAAGAAAGAAAGAAAGAAAGAAAGAAAGAAAGAAAGAAAGAAAGAAAGAAAGAAAGAAAGAAAGAAAGAAAGAAAGAAAGAAAGAAAGAAAGAAAGAAAGAAAGAAAGAAAGAAAGAAAGAAAGAAAGAAAGAAAGAAAGAAAGAGACATTAATGTGGGGAAGTAAGTTTGAGGTATGAACAACGGATCAACATCATGGCACAAGGATAGTAACCCATAAGTGCTCCGTTCTTCTTTTAACTAAAGTCTGATTTCGAAGAAGCTCAGCACAGTGAACAGGCTCTGTATCACCGTCGAGGATCCTAAAGTACTTCGGGTAGATTTTTAACTTCAAAATTTGCCCGGGCAGTGCCGTTAGACTACTCTTTTCGATTTCAAACTGCCAAGGGATATTTTATGTGTGCAAAAATGCAGACAGGCGTCCAAACTCACTACCCAGAGACCAGGGGGAATTACTAGAAGTTCAAGTTAACATGAAACGCTATCAGCCCTTACCGGCATACTCGGTATAAACGTGCTTAACCATACGTTACTCCCAGCTCACGCTGTGTTAGTGTCAGAGATTAATAATTATCCACTAGCCTAATCCGTTCATCGTTGATTATATCTTGTTTTGTCCATGCTTTTCCCCCTTATTCGTTGATTCATTGTGCGCCAGTTAGTTTGCTCCCATGACCTTTAACGCCAGTGTGCAGATCCAGATGGATCATCTCACAGACTCAGTCCTAAAGCAGGTTTATGAAATCTAATACAATTACTGCATATCTGACTAGTTATATGCGTCTTTGCCTATCCAACTTACTGTCAAGTCAGTTATTTATTTCAACTTCCAGCCTTTACAGTCTTTGTACCAGAGGCTATGTATGCTATAGACTTACAATATACCTTATGCTATAATGCATGTATAAATGCTTCTTTGTCGTAACCGTGCTTCCATCAACAATGAACTGCAACTATAATGGCAGACTGTTGGTCCTGGCACCACTGGCATCTGCCTTATGCATTTAATGCATGTGGAAGCTGTTGGACTTTGCCAGGACTGTTGTCCGTCTGACTTTTCAGTGACACGGAGTTAGTGTTGTTTTTCAAGCGCGGGAACGAAGCTTCTTCTTATTCGTGGCGTCTGCTGGCTGTAAACTTCTGCATAAAGTCAGTTTGTTTGTCCACTTCTTGAATTTGGTCTGTTTTCTTTCTTTCTTTCTTTCTTTCTTTCTTTCTTTCTTTCTTTCTTTCTTTCTTTCTTTCTTTCTTTCTTTCTTTCTTTCTTTCTTTCTTTCTTTCTTTCTTTCTATCTTTCTATCTTTCTATCTTTCTATCTTTCTTTCTTTCTTTCTTTCTTTCTTTCTTTCTTTCTTTCTTTCTTTCTTTCTTTCTTTCTTTCTTTCTTTCTTTCTTTCTTTCTTCTTTCTTTCTTTCTTTCTTTCTTTCTTTTCTTTCTTTCTTTCTTTCTTTCTTTCTTTCTTTCTTTCTTTTTCTTCTTTCTTTCTTTCTTTCTTCCTTTCTTCTTTCTTTCTTTCTTTCTTTCTTTCTTTTTTTTCTTCGTCTTCTTCTTCGTCTTCTTCTTCTTCTTCTTCTTCTTCTTCTTCTTCTTCTTCTTCTTCTTCTTCTTCTTCTTCTTCTTCTTCTTCTTCTTCTTCTTCTTCTTCTTCGCGTTCACCAGCTGTAAACTCCGGGGGAACGTTCTTGTAGTTCTGGACTTTATTCTTGTTCCGAACCTGAATTTGCATGCACATCCGTTTTACAGATCTGACTTATTTGTCTGCAGATTGTTGGTTTTTTGCTCCCTTGCTGATGTACTCTGACTTCGAAAGAAGCATCCCTAATTAGACGTCTGTTACGACGTATTTGTTAGGGGAGAGTGGATCTATTCTGTGTCCCCCTCTCCCCCCCCCACCCCCCCCCCAATAGGGTCCCGGAACCCGCATGGTGTTAGAGGTAAACAATTATGGGATGGATCTGTTGGTCGTTAAGCTGGAACTGATAACCTGAAAATCTGGACTTACAAAAATGGAATTGTTCGTAAATCCATAATAACCGAGAAATGCCCTCATTAGGTAATAGTGCATTTCCGCTCAACAGTCTTTATTTCTTTATTCCCAATTTCACTTCGACTCTTTAAGTGCCAGAAGATGTCGCTGGATGTTCTCGAATAGCTGTAGTAACAGCGAATATGAAATTCACAGCATTAGAAGAATTAGCCAGGTTTCTGTAGTAAGTTAAGGGTAAACATCAATTCACATTGTTCTTTGCCTGCTACACATCCACAATATCTGATCACACACAATACGTTGGCTGGGACTGAAAGAATGTAGGAATATATTTATGACATGGTTTATACTCTTATCATCACAACAAGGAGGTAGCTAGAACAAGTACAACGAAGCTAAATACACCCGATGAAGTCACAGTCGCCGCAACGTTATAATCAGCCGTCAGAGAGTTCTCATCGCTGTATGATGTAGATTTGGCACCGGCTGTATCTACAGCCCTTCTGGTATCCACATATGTTGCCTTGTGAGAAACCTTTCCAGCATTACCAGAGGCTGGCCCTGTGTCTACCATTGACACTGGACTGTAGTAGTCTGTCTCTAGTACTGTTATATTGGTGACTATGTTAGAGTTATGGTCCGCTTCCCTAACCGAGCTTTCATATCTGGACTCGGTGGGAAGAGATTCAGTTGGTTTAACGGTCGAGGTGCTCATGGGAATAGATTTACAAGAATCACCTTCAAGATGAATCTCCAGCGTTAGCATCGGCTGACGAAGTCCAGATCGAGCGAAGCTGAAGCTTTTTTGATCGCACTCACTGGCAACAAGGACATATGCCTCGTTTGGATAGTACTGACTAAAGACAAAACATACAACGTCCTTTTCGTTCTGAATATTTTGCACTAAAAGAATCCTTTCCCAGTAGTGACCCTCGAAGTTAGCCAGACATCTGTAGTCTGTAAGTTCAGGGATCAAACTTCCACAGCTGGGAAAATCCAGTCGTATCTTATGAAAATCTTCACAATGAGGATACATCGTTCCTGAACATTTATATCCCTTTGGAAGTGTACCACTGATTGTATAAACATTTGTAATGTTACAATGCACAGATTCAGACTTTGTCATGTGGGCTATGATCGGCTTCCCGGCCCCTTCGTGGGGTCTGTACTTATCGTCTATAGGGGAAGGATCTGGGTGAAAGCGTTCCTCGCCACAAATGGCGTTTCCCAGATCATTTTCCTGAGTCGGCCACACGTAGCTTTGGCTTAAACTGTATTGAAGAACTGACGGACCAATTCTACGAATATAAAGACACGTGAATCGAGGCCGGCAACCGTTTTGATACATTGATATTGTTGTATAAAATGAAGTTTTTGGTTTGGTGTTTGGGTAGGAGACACAAATAAAATCTCCAACACCCGTTATCGTTATACTCGACGATGCGATATCCGTTTGGCTACTTCCGTTAACATCCTTCAAAATCCAGGAACCAATGAAATCACTAGGAAACTCACATTGTGTAGGGATTGAACTAGCATCACAGACAGCACACGATTTCTGGCATTCTTGTTTTACGTAAGCATTGCATGTGACTTTGCTGCACTGCTCATATTCGTCTTGACACAAACTGGAAAACACACGAGTGGTGAGATAAAGTGTAAAATAATTGACATTTTTTATCGACGCCAGTTGAACTGTATCAGTGGTGCAAGCCAGATCACTGAAAAGATACGCTGTGGTGTTGGAAGTTCGGTAGATTGGCATTACCAAGCACCATAAATCGATGTCTTCATTCCGACGAAGTATGACATAATGATTCTTGCTATCTTGCCACGAGGTAACGCAGATAGTTCGCTGTTTGACAAACATTTTTATTGCAGGGAGACAGTTACTTGACATGAAGTTGAAGGTAACACCCTCTCCCCCGAGGCATTCAACCTCCATTCTCATGGGTCTCAACATTAAGTTACAACCGTTCTCCCCCTGGATTGAGTCGATAATTTTCATGTCAAATCCGCCGCTGAAAGGACAGGGAGTGTAGTCCGCTTCAAGCGTTCCGTACCAAATCAATGGCCATGGATCGGTTTTCATGTTAAGATCATCGCACAGGCTCAGGTCAAAGTTCCTGACCTCGTGTGACCACATGATCTGCACTACTGATCGACTTCTGAACAAAAACCGGGCGCATCTATAGTAATCGTGGACCAGATGGTCCTGGCGTTTGAGCAAAAGCTTGTCGTGGAAAATCGTGGTGCACTTCCAGCGCACGTTGGAGCGATCGCTCTTGGGGTAGTGAATCTCCATGACGTTGTGGCGGATGTAGTACTCCACATCACGTGAGCCATCCGTCCTCACGTGACTGTACCAAGGCGGGTCACGGAGGTCCAGTTGCAGAGCGTCTGGAAAGCTGCAGGACATGACCAGGCATCTTTTAGCGATGACCGATAGTAAGAAGAGATGCTTTAGAAGCAGGCACGTCATGCTCCCTATCTTCATCTCACATATGTTGGCTTTGGTAGATAGATCAGCACATCGTTGTTCAGCAGTACAACCCCATCTGCGAAAAAGGACATACAGTCAGACAATAATCAATTAAAAAATCATGTACTTTTGACTACTGAACTGAAATGTTAGCAATTTAGGACATAAAACTAGCAAACATGTAAGATTTGAACAAACAAGACACAAACAATAGACTGCACAATTTATGGCCGAACATATTTCACTGTATCTCGTCAGGTGCATACTATTAAAAACAAGTAATTAAAATGAAGCAAATAAAAAAATCTTTCAGACTGAAACACAAAACAGGGATTCATTTAATTGCTTCTTTTCTTAGAAGATTTTTCACATGAACTTTCCCATGCTTCTTGGTTTCTTTTACAACATTTTCCTTAAACATAGAGATAGACCCCCCACCCCCCCCCCCCCTTTCTACCTCGCCCAAAGAGCACATCAACTCACCCTTTCTCTCACTCTTGCTCACAGCACGTAGCCCCTAGTGTCTCCCAGCCCATTGTAAGATAAATCAAACACGTGAAGCTATTGATTCAGCTGTTGACTAAAATTAGATGTTCTTGCCATGTCGGGCACAGAGTTTCTTAAATGACAGCATAGATTTTTCTGTTTTATCTTTCTTTCTTTTTTTTTTTTTTCGACTTGTTTCTTAGTCTTCGGTGTCATCTTTTTCTTTTAGTGGTTTCTTGTTTTTCAGTTGTTTCTTTTTCTTTAGTAGCGTCTTTCCTCGAAAGGTTTTTTTTAAACGTTTTTTTTTTTCAAAGGCGCCTTTCACTTCATTGACACTGTTTCGTAGAAATGTTTACTAGTAAAAGTAAAGTAAAGTCGGGAGATGTGAACCAGCGATATTGTACACGGTTATAAACTATAAGTGCTCTGCCACCAGTAGGGACAGCTGATAAGAGCCGGTCCGCCTGTGTCGCCGTCCGCACGTAACTCCGTAGCTACAGCGACATTTCCTCCAATTACCCCAGAGTGTTAACTCTGGTACCGATTTCCTAGAGATTGGGTGAACTCCGGGAACCGCACGGTTTTTCAACACCGGCCTTGGGCTGCAGCGAATCGCTGCTGGATTTAAAAGGGAGTCTCCTATCGACTGCGCTAACGCGACCCCTAGTTATTTAGTCACTAGATTATTCACATTGAATCCGAACCATTCAGTCCACGAGTGCCCAGATCCCCTACTCAGTAAATCAGCAGCGTGTAGCGGCTGACGACAGTAGTTCTGTGTGGGTTTCTTCTTCTTCTCTGGCTTCCAGCATAGTTCTCTTATCTGGATACACCACTTTTAACATGTTGTTCATTTAGCTCCCGCAAACGTCTTACTTCTCGTAGAAAATCCAGAATATCTGTCTGGTCCATGGCTCTTCTTCTGCAAGCTTATTAGCTTGCTCATTTCTTTGCACACCTGCATGCTTTGGTACGGAAACACTAAAAACTGATGATTGTCAGCCCAGACAGAATCAGAGACTCCAACCAGTTTTACTTTGAAGTATCTCCTCATGATGGTGTACGCCACTACACGATGCCCGGTCATGTACTCCAGTTTCCCAGATGCTCTTCAACTCCACCCCCGCGACCTCCCTTGGTATAGTCATGTGAGGATGGATGGCTCACGTAATATGGAGTTCTACTTCCGCCACAACGGCCTTGAGATTCATTATCCAAAAAGCAATCGCTCCAAAATCAAATGTAAGTGCACCACGCTCTTCCAGGACGCGCTACTGCTCAAACGCCAAGAAGGATCTACTGATAGATTCCTCGGGTCGGATTCGAAGCCCCATGGTGGGGAAACTGGTACTATTAGCGGGTCGACTCTTCGAAGGGTTCGTTTTAAACTTCGTATCTCATTATCGTTAACTATTCTGAATGGGTGGTATTGAGAATATATGTGTGAACAAATTGAATGTCAAATCGAGGCAAGCGTGAACTTTGTGCAGTCTGGCCAAAAACATGCTAAGCGAGAAAAATATGAATGCCTGAGAACAGTCTGGAAGTTTACGAGGAAAAGAAGAGACAATTTAAGCCATTTAAGAATAAGATAGGGCAGTATTGTTTTTGATCTGGTCTTGTGGCAGTTAGAGTGCCTGAGCTGAAGGTATCCTGAGAAGAACAAATGAATACTTTCAACCCATTAGCCCAAAGAAACCTGGCTAATCAGTCGACGGAATGCAAGCGAGAATAGCAGCTGTGCTTGTATAGTTGTGAATGCGGATTTGTGAGCAATGAAGTGCATGCGCCAGATTCAATGACAGTGAGAATCGTGCATAGTTAATGTGAGTAAGTAGATGCTTGCGAAAATAGCTAGATCCAAAGACGATATACCTCTGATAAAAAAAAAAAAAAAAAAAGGAAAAAGTAAAGATCCCTTTTCACGCCTTAGGCGCATCGGGCATACGGGAAGAGCGTCCCTTATTTTTACAGACCAATCGGCACATACATAAAACTATATATATATATATATATATATATATATATATATATATATATATACATATATATACATATATATACATATATATATATATATATATATATATATATATATATATACATATATAACACATATATATATATATATATATATATATAGTATATATATATATACATAATATATATATATATATATATATATATATATATATATATATATATATATATATATATATATATATATTCGTGTAGGAAATTTGGATGAACTAACATAATCTTAATGAATCACACAGACATGTCAACGTTCGTTCGAATTAACTTTCGAATTTGCATATTTATGCATGCATTTTATTTAAATTTAAAAATTACTTGAGATAAATGTAGCTAAATTGAACAATTTAGCCAGATTTTCTAATGAATGAAACCTAAAAAAGTTCTAACACTTTCGTTTCGAGAAGCAAGGCCCATGTAGGCCCTGCCGTTGCCTCTGGCACATGGTTCTACTGATTTTCCTGCCTCGCGTTGTTTTGGGTGCTGTAAACTTACACAACGCAACAAACTTTCACAAAAGGCGCCATTGAACAGCTCACATGTGCAAGAAAAGCAGTTTTGGTTACCATGTAACCAATCTCAAGGCTTATACACGGCCATCTTTAGCTATAAATCTAGAGTTGGCGGTGGCTTATATTACCGGGCCGACAAATGCCAAACCGTCTTTTTTGCTATTTTGTTGCTGGCCCGATAGATCGGCCCAGTCTTCCCCAAATTAAAAGAGGAAAGAAAAAAGTAGCAATTAACAAGAATTGTGTTATCCTATTAATTAGATTTTTAACGGCAGATGTACAAACTGCTTGTGAAAACAAAAACATTCTTGGCTTTGCCAGGTATTAATTTTTTTAAATATTTAATTTATAATTAAACCGGAAAAAAATGCTAGTATAGCCGATTATCACAAATGTATTTTCAAAATTGATTGACGCTCTCCTTGGAACTTGTTTGCGTCCTCCTAAAAGAAACACAGGTTTACCTAGTTGAAAATGTAAATTTTTTTAACTGCAATTTTTTTTTTAAAGTCACTCCGTCAAGAGAGAAACGAAACAAATGTTAAGTTCTATTTGCAATATTTTGTTTATTGTAGATTTAAACTTGAAAGAGCGCGGCTTAAATTTCTGTCAATAATGTGGACTGGAGCACTTGACTCTTAATCCGCCTTCATACACATTTCCGGACAATTGCCGTAATCATCAGTCGCCGGATGAAAAAACTGCCGCTCGCCTTTCATCTTCGCTGGTCTTTCATTTGATCTAGTTATCACCCGGTCTCTTCAATAAAGCCTCGCGTCTGTCATTAGAGATTTATTCCCAGCTTTAATAAATTCGAGTAAACAAATCTAAATTGTTTCTGTGGTTGATGAAAAGTTTTAAAACCGAGCGTTTTCTGTTTAGAATCGAGGTTAAAAACTGTTATTTAAAAAGATCGATTTATGTAAAGTGTGATGGTGAGAGATTAAAAAAAAAAAGAAAAAAAAAAAAGAATGGGGAGTGGTGAGGGGAGGGTGGGGGGGGGGGGGGCAAAAGGAGAGATAGGATAATGAGATACCACTCTCACACACAGAGAAAGAGACAGAGAGAGAGAGAGAAAGAGAGAGAGAGAGAATATTCGGCCGAGAAAGGGAGATAATATATATACAGAAATCAAACAAGACAAAGACATACATAATATACAGGGGGTGAATAAAATTTAAAAAAAAGAGTGAACACACAAACACTCATAGATCGACAGAGAAAGGGAAATACCTACTTACACAGAAAGTCTGTGAAATGAGAATGAGTGAGAGAACTCGACAGAACAAACATGCATATATAAATAAACACAAACAGAGAGAGAGAGAGAGAGAGAGAGAGAGAGAGAGAGAGAGAGAGAGAGAGAGAGAGAGAAAGAAAGAGAGAGAGCGAGAGAGATATAAAGGGAGAGAGATCCACAAAGAATAGGAGAATCTCAGATTTATAGAGACAAAGCAGGAGAAAGAGATACAAGGTTGACAAATTATAAAGAATAAATAGACATGCAGACATAAAGCGGGAGAGAGAGAGACGGAGAGATAGACGGAGAGAGAGAGACGGAGGGAGAGAGGCTGAGGGAGAGAGAGTATGAGAGACGACGAGAGAGAGAGAACTCAACCGAGAAAGAGAGACATTTACAGAGACATCGCAACATGGAAGGCGGGGAGGGGGGGGGGGACTGACAAAGAGAACGAGAAAGAACACCCAAATGCAGAGAGAGAGAGAGAGAGAGATTGAGAGAGAGAGAGAGAGAGATCGGGAGAATTACAGACACAACAAAAGGAAAGTAGAGGGCGGAATGACATAGATGTTGAGAGAGAATAAACACACACATAGAGAGAGAGAGAGATTGAGAGAGATTGAGAGAGAGAGAGAGAGATCGGGAGAATTACAGACACAACAAAAGGAAAGTAGAGGGCGGAATGACATAGATGTTGAGAGAGAATAAACACACACATAGAGAGAGAGAGAGAGAGAGAGAGA